ATATTTATATGTATTATAATTTATAGATAGTTAAGTTATTACCTATTAATCTTTACTTATAAATTATAATTAAATAATAAATTATTCAAACATACCTTATAAATTAAATTTCTTCAATAATGATAATACCTTTTGAAAAGGTTGATATGTGTTCATTTCTGTAATAGTTTCCACAAAAAAATTTATATATTTGTATTTTATAATTTAGTTAATATAGGTTAAAACACAATTGAAATGAATGCTTATTTACGAGTACCATAATTATTAGGTACTAAAAGATTATTTTTAATTTCTAGAAAAATTCTAAAAAAAAAATTATTATTGGTAAGTTTTTGGTAGAATTGCATAACTATCAAATATTATAATTATTATCAAAAAAATAAAAAAAACTGATAATGGACTAACTAACGTATTTTAATTTTTAATACCATCATTGTAGCTCGGTATATACTGTTGAAAAACAAAACAACCACATTTTCCTAATGTTTCATCAATAGATACATTTGAATTAAGACTATAATTGTTTTTAAAATACGTTTATATATCCATTAGGAATGAATTCAATTAGAGCTAACTTTTCTATTTACTTTCAATTTTCGTGAGAATAAGAGTCGTCTAAAAGTAGTAGTGTCCTTAAAAGAAGACTAACTCTACGGAAATAAATCTCATAATCTCTATTCGTAAAAGTGGTGTGCCGTTCCATCAGTATGGCAAAATTCATTTAAATGAATGTGTGCTGACTTTTTCACTCAAGCCAGATATAATAGGCCTACTATGACTAATGATTTTGTTCCTTGTAAATATATTGACATGACTTTTCAGAAATTTGTCTTAATCAGATCTAAAGTTATCTCAATAAATATTGGTAACCACTAGCTGTGTTCAAAAAATCATTTGTAGAGGAAAAAAATGTTTAAATGTTGTGCAAGCCCTTGTATTCAATTTTGATACTTTCAATGAATATTTTTAAGAGCTGGATTCATACATCAATAAAAGTTTCTAATATCTTTGTTCACAAATGGTGGAAACCATGTATATTTAAATTTTCCCTCCATTCGATTCTTCTGACTCGGATTAATATAATAGACATATTCTTCATAACTTACATCTGATTAATAAATATTACCATCAACTAATTCAAGTACCTCATCAGTCTCATTCTGGGCCGTAATTTTAGTGACCTTTACCAGGGCATTTTCCTCAATCTTGATTTGTATGGGCTTTTCAAATTATAGATGGCCGGCTAAAATTCGTATAGTTGAAATGGCAAGCAGCCGCTCAAAACCTATACAATCGTAAATCATTGTCGTTTTTAAGGAACATACCACCCGAGAGCAGAACGAAATATTATAAAAGCAATAAAATCAACACTTTAACGGCTGATTGACATCACAATTAAAGTAGATATCTGTTAAGAGCTTAATTGCTTATTGTTTATTTTTTTGCGTTAGTATTTAATTATGTATATGATTTAAGGTAAAATGCACTAACAATAAAACTGGTATTTACACATTAGATTAAAACACAATGGTGGTAATAATAATAATAATAATAATAATAATAATAATAATAATAATAATAATAATAATAATAATAATAATAATAATAACAATTACAATAATACCAACAAATAAATGTTTAACGAAAATAAATACATTTCAAAACAGTTTTATCAAAAAAAGAATATATATTCATTTTGGTTGGGTTCCGAATGATGTTAGACATTAAGCATAAGTCTGTTTTTCAAATTATTAATTAGTTTTGAATTGGGGATAATAATTACGAAACATATATTACAAGAATAAACATGAAAAATATTTGTGCCTATGTAAATTTTATATAATAGGTATGTATCAATTATAATAATAATTATGTACTATCACCTATGCACTTTAATATTGTTATTATAACCTATTTATTATTTATAAATCTTTTCATTTCGATATTAATGCATTCCAAACAGATGATAGATTATTACATTTTTAATTTATGCTACGAATGAATTCACATGTTTAAAAAAATATTATTTATTTTATTTTAGTTTTGTCTGTTTTATAATTTTATTTAGTTATAGGCGTTATAGCATGAGTGTATTTTTCAATCGAATGTGAATTTTAGGAAGTATATTATAAGTATTTATTTGTATAAGACGTGTAATGTTTTTATTTTTTTATTGGTTTGCATAATTAAGAAACTATCGACTTTTTTTATAACTGTCACTGAGACTGAAGATAATTAAGTTTATGTGATGAAGTTAAAATGGTTTAAAATATAATAACTGAAGGATTCTCACTTTTTCACAGATAGTTTGAGTAATTTTATTTACCAGTTATAATACTGCAAGTATATTTGTGAATCTAAAACCTCTTTAACGGCGGAATCGTATAAAACGTGAAATACAAAAATAAATCTCTTTTAGGAAATGAATAGGTTGTTTTTATTTTTGAATAACACACAATACATGTAATTAACCGATTTACTTAATCAATACATATTATAGTACATAATTAGTAAATAAATGTAAAATATGTTTATTATTAGTTTGCTATTACAGTTGATAAGTACTCCGATAAATTATAATTTAAAAATGTACGTACCTAGATCATAACTTACATTAGCTCATCTGGGAGATAATTAGCATTCACCCTCCTCCTAATTACCAACAAACATAATTCAGAGTTAAATTCAGTTACCTACCTATATTTCATGATTCACCGAGGTATTTGTGTTTGGTTTCTCTTAACTATCAGTCTATAAATCAAAATTAAACATTAATTTGTATTTTGGTGCTTACGGATGGTAAATTTTTGTTTCAAAAAACTACGATAGTCGAATCCAATAAGTTTTATTAAAAAGACTAACTTTCGTAGATACATTTGAGTAACAATAGTATGATAACTATTTTTATTACCAAAAGGCAATAATCTAGTTTTGTTGATGTTGCAGTTTAAATTATTCCAATGGTTTAATTATAATATTTAAATATCAGAACGGTGATAGTCTCAATGAATAAATTGCATACTGGGCAATTACGAAGTACAGGTACGAACAGTAGTAGCTGATTTATATTTTCAATTACGTAAGGAACAAAAAATAATTTGATTATACTATTATCTTTGAACCGTAAAAGCCACGACTCAAGACCGTAATGTGCTAGCGTTACACGTCCTCCGCAGTATTAGACTATAATGTATAGTATGTATATTGTATATAAGTATATTATAAGAAATCACTAATAAAAACGCATCATGTAAAAAATGTTAGAAACAGGTGGGAATCGTTATAGATGTGTACACTTAAGGATGCCGATAAAAAAAACTAAAAAGTGTGTTTTTGGAATTAAAACGGTATGGTACACCGATTAACGGTATGAGAATAGTTTCGTGGTCCACATAGCTTAAAATTCATATCAATATTTGTAAAAAGTCTATTGAGTAGGTATAGTAAATATTAAGACACACATTAACTACAGTTTCCTACGAATAATACTTTTTGAATTAGAACAAAATAACTAACATCACTATTTGTGTTCAAATGGCTGATTCCGATAGAATTTTAACTTGAAATGTTTGTTAACGACCTGTGTAATTTTCATTTTTGAATTTTATTTTTTTGTAGGCAAAATGTATGAAAAAATACGTATTACATTCGCAACCCTTAGCTGTAAAAATTGAAAAAGTTTTAATTTATATATATATATTTGTGTTACTATATAACTTTTTACGTACTACTGATAAACAAATTTAGTAGAAATAACACTATGTATTACGAAATAGAATATAAAAGAAAGAAATCCACTAGCTGTTTTATTTTTTTTTACTTTAAACTTAGATGTTTCAGTGTTTTTACAATGAAACTGGTAAGAATTCTCTAGAACGACGTCTGTATACAATATACATATTATATTATATGTGTAACACATGTATGTATTTTGCTACGCTTTTTGGCATAATCAATAATTAAATAACGAAAGGAAGAAGATTTTTATCTGAAAGGTTTACTCATTGCGAAGTCTCTTCCAATTAAAACGTCACAAGTACAATGTATAATATATTCAGTTGCCTTTGCAGTATTCGACGATATCTACTCTTAGCACTGCAGACACGAGGGAATAAAATAGTTTATATAAAACGTAATGTAACATACGCACAATCTAACTGGACTACAACTAAATAGATAATTGCATAACGTTAGACAGATAAGTTAATTTTAAAATAACTTTCTTTTTTTCAGTCGAAAATACGAGAAGGTCGATCGTTCACAATAACAATAATATGCTTTAAAATAACACATTTTGTTCGAATATTTACACCGGCTATTATCTTATCTCTATTATCTGTATCTCTTTAAGGGTGTCGGTGACGGTAGAATCAAATATTAAGAAGTTCTATAAAATTGTATACTTTATATTTTAGTTGTAACCCACCCTTATTATAATGCTTTTCCAGTAATCTACTGTCTGATACCTTTTAAGGAGGGAGGGTTTATACGGATTATTAGATCTACAAAAATGATTTTGAAACTCTCACGCCTAGTTTGTATGTCATATTTTGATGTATATTTTTTTTTAATCTAAAATATGAGCATTTTTTCAGGTAAGATCATTTCTAAATTAAAGAATTAGAGAATTTCCAATTTACATAAAGTAGTGCTAGAAAAATAACAAAATAAATATTGTGCATTATTCAAAAACCAATTTTTAGTTTCTGTAATTTTATTATAATTTTGAATATAGGGCTTCATGTGACCCGAAAAATTTTCTCTTATTTTAAATAAAAAAATAAAATGAACGAAATCCGACTATTTTATGGGGAGTGAGAGTTTTTCCTGTAAGACATGTTTTTGTGCTAAAAATGCACCGACTCTGACTAACGATTTTTAATTTTACACATAATATTATACATAATATAAAGAATACCAAACAAATAGTTAGGTATTCAGTTTTCCTCATTTGGTTCGGTGTAAAATAGAAATATTATGTGAACTATTTCTCTTTTCAGATTATAAGCAATGATAAGCTCTATGTGAAATGGGATGACAGCCACGAGAGTACTTATGACTTACAATGGCTACTAGAGAGAAATTTTAATGAGGGTCGAGAACGCCACGAAAATCAGCAAGTCAAATGGACTGCGGAATCGTTTGCAGCTATATTCCGGTCATTTAAATATGATGACGTAATCAAAAGGTCGTATCTATCACTACCTATTTTACTAATTTACCTATCTAGAACTGTTCACACCATAAATTATTAGAACAAACTTTTCAAAATCAATTTTAATTTATGAAATTTATTTAAACGTAGATTTGAAAATACCTCCTCAAATCAAAATGTATCGAAACAATTTAAAATGTAAAATAGAATAAAAAATGCAATATAGGAACATAAAATAAATCACGGACATCGAGGTAAATTTTCAATTGAATGACATTTCAGACAAAAAGAGTTTCAAAAACCAATTGGTAGGTACTTGATAAATGCAATACAATTATAATTGTATTATATTGTGATATCGATATTATTGTAAAGTGTACTGCCAATTAAAAATTATTATTTATTACGAAAATGAATAGTGCACAACTTAAATATAATAATAAAATAGTGATTGTTTTTTTTATTAAATCAATATTGTGCATACCATCAAATTTATAAATCCCGAATAGATTTGATGTTACAAAAGATTTGTCGTAAGTCATTTTTAATGTCAACAATAACTGCTAGGTTAATACGACTTATCATCATAATACAACCAATTACTTTTGATCAACTTAACATAAAACATATATATATAATATGAAGTAAGACATTTTTTAAATGGAGCCAACTAGTATCGTTTACTTATTCGATCTTAAAAATATATTCACGGCAAATATTATGTATAAACATGTTCATATTTTCTACTTACCAAAAAACACAAAAAAAAACAATGCGTTACTATGGACATCGTTATTTTGTGGATACAGCTAAAGAAATACTCAGAAAATTTACAAGATAATTCAAAATTACTAACTTCCCTCTAACAGGAATTCTAGATCTTAGGTTAATACAATTAACAAATGTGCTATTATTATACAAAATAATAAATAACAAAAACTAAGATTTAAAATCCACATATTTTATACAACACTCTATTATTAAGGATATTTGCAAGTTCTATCATCGAATGTCACTCAGTTATTAAGTTTGATGATAATTTATAAATAACGAATGAATATTAAATTTGTTTTTATTTTTATTATACCTAACTCTCTATAATATGCTTTCAATTTTATGATAAGGTCATCGATTTACATAACATCTGAAATAAAAAAGAGCTTAAAACAATTTTCGATTTTTTCAAAAAAATGATTAAGCTAACATAACTTAGGTTATATTTCTTCTTTTAATTTATTATTCAAAAGAAAAAAGTACAACCATAGTTGAATAGTAAAAATTAAACGATTAAATTTAATTAAATAATTTATTTTGTTTGGTAACTTGTAAAATTATTTTTGTTTTAATATGATGATACTACAATTGTTCTCATAAATGTGAAAAGATATTAATACACACGATCTATGAAAATCTAGACGTGGCATAAACTTTACGTACAGTTATACAGTTAAGTAAAATATTATATTCCCCAATATATATTAGTACCTATACAATGAAAGCTAAACTAGCAGAAAAATAGTATTATAATATAATGCCAACCTGTATTCTTCTAACCTCGTGAATTTAATTAATATAAATACAATCAATAGGTAGTAAAAATATACATTTTAGTATTTTACCAATATCCAGTACAAAAATTACATACATAAAAATTAAATAATATAATTTGTTTATATTACATAACATACACAACAATAACGTTGAGGTTTAAGATTCTGGAAAAAAGTTTTAGATTATAGATTTCTAAACAGGCATAATACGATTTTTTAAAACAATTCAATTTTGCAGCTATTTATTTAGCAATTGGCAACAGAAGTTACTTTACACATGGCAACAAAAATCTTAAAATCTTTAAATTCAATGTCCTTTAATTTCAGTTCTTGTCTATTATTGTCTATCAACGGTGGTACTGATCTCCGTCATCGCATCGGATGTTTGGACAGTCCCTTCGTTCAGATTGGTTTGTGTTGTTATTTTGAAGGAAGAAGTTCAAGTTATTGGTCAAATTTCCAATTTCTAATTTTTACAAGTTGTAGGTAAAACCATTGCTTGGAGTAGATAATGGCTGGTTGTCTGTTAGGTATTGGAGTTATGATGTGGATTCCGGATTGTTTAAATTAATTTTTTTCCCACAGTGCAGCCGCTACTTATCCAAGGGACTGCAGAAGTGAGCTTCTATAATATTATGGTTTGTTAAAAAAATTCAGATCTTCTTACCATGATCGTATATTATAAACTTCAATACACGCTGGAACGCTCACTTGCAAAATTATTCATTGTTTTTATTGTTTTTAGTTGTTGGTTAATGATAAACAAAAATACAGTAAACCTCATAAAGATCCTAAACAATAACTACTCGGCACCCTTGGTTAATATCTAATTTAATGTTCTAAAATATTATCCATGTTTTCAATATAAGTAATTATATCTATAATACCTTACTTCTGATATTGTATTTATAATACCATTTTTAGTTTTTTTTAAATTTAATGCATTTTTTCATTTTTGACAATAATGTGCTTAATTAATTAAAGAACAATGTCTATTTAATAAACTATAATAAAGTTTCTCTTCATTTTATTTGATAATGAAATAATTTACAGTTATTTCACTATAAAACTCACAGCTACTATAAAGCGGTTATTTTTTATCTATCATGAAAACCTCTCGTTTTTCCTAAATTTATTATTAAAACTGTTATGATAGTTGTAATTTTTAATTAAAACAGAAAAATAGAGCTTCATGCTCTTACAAATGGTTGTATGTAGAATTAATAATGTTATTTTAAATTGAGTTAAAGGAAATGTTTCATTATTACTAGCACAAGGACATAGGTAATATTATACTGAACTTTTTTGTCATTGAACCAATATTTATTTACATACAATTTTAATTTGATTAATATTTGATTGAACTCTTAACTTTTGGATAAATACAAAATATTTTTATTGAGTTATTGATATCGGTACTCAGTAGGCACCTAATTATATTTGATTTAGTGAAGATTGTATTGTAGTTATGTAATATATTCTTTTTTCATGAATCATGACTGTAACTAAGCACAACCTTACTACAATTAAAAATAGGGCAGACTCGGACGTACATAAGCTCTATTGAGCGCCTTCAAAATTACGCATGGTCCTTCGTCAGCAAATAAGTGGTGGAACAGGATTAATTTTTTCTCCCAACCGTTAGAAAATTAAGGAAAAGGAAGAAACACTCTTAATTCCACGAATTGGGCAATGTTTGTACACCCACCACTTATCATCAACCTAAAATATGAATACCATCGAAGATACAAGACTCCCCCTTCTCCGACCAGTTGCAGCGGTTCGTTCATAACGTCCAGCAGCTCTATTGTTACAATTAACACCAGAGCCAACTCAAATTCAACATCACCATCAACGACCCGTTGGGAACGAATTCTCTCGATAATTATCCACTGAGCATCTCGGGTAAAAATTTATGGAAACCTACTCACAAGTATTCTTGAAAATGCTTTTAAGCCAAATCGTTTGGTGGAGAATCCAAAAAAAATTAAAATATAAATGATCAGATTAAAAGCAATCCAGACAACAAAAGTATCTTCAGCCTCTATTTCTAGTTCTACATAGAAATCAAAGTTGAGAGTTACAAATCAAACAGCCCTACATAATGCTTTAACTGTCAAGGATTCGGTCATTCAAACATTCACTGTAGACATCCACCACGATGCACAAAATATGCTGATCTTTACAACGCTAAAGTTTCAAAATAACCTCTAGAAGAATACCCTAAGTGCACCAAGTTTGTTGACAACACAGCCACCTTCAGAAATGATCAGCTGTGATCAAGGAAATTGCCACAAAATATCCCTTAAAACTCAAAACTTAACTTCCAAATCCCAAAGTTAGAGTAACTATCTAATAACTTCTCTAGACCCCAGCATTGAGAAAATTTACTCTTCCTCCTACGCAGATAAGACATCAAACGACCATTACTTCAACAAACATACATTAATCAACAAAATTTCTGCAAAATCTATTATTCGACCTAGCATCAGGTACTTTCCTGCCCTTCTTACTACTAAAACATAATGAATAACACAAGAATAACTTTTTGGAACGACTGAAGTATCTCTTGAAAAAGCCATGAACTACTCCAATTAACTCAATGAAGAAAAATAAACATTCTGCATCCCTAAACTCACCTTATCTCTTCAAATGAATATAAAACAGAAAAACTGTAATTCATGTTATTCAAACAGGACCCTAAAGAAAAGGCAACAGTCCAGCTGGTAGCACTATTATACACATTACACATTCACAAAAAATAATTCTCTATCAAAAAAATATATCTTTAAAAGAGGCTCTTGCCTATAGCCCCAACTATACTTAATCCACATTAACGACATGCGTCGACACCGCAACTCCGAAGTAGCTCTATTTGGAGACGACACTTGTAGCAGTACTTGTACTTGTAAGCAGTCTAGAAACTACATCATCAAATCGATCTCATCGAACCATGGCTTATTGATTAGGGAAAAATATCTGCCATCCAAAACTACAACAGTTTGTTCTCACATGTAACTACAATATGCTCTAACAAAATTAAAATAAATTCTCAAAAAAGCAGTTAATTGGTCTCATTCAATGAAATATCTAAGAATACGAATTTATTAGAAACTAAACTTCTCAAAACTTATCAAATTAACTTCAGATAAAGGAAAATCAATTAAAACCCAACTATTCTCAATATTAAAAAACAAAAGTTTACTACTTATTAAAACGAAACTTTATTTATACAAACCAATGTTATATAATATATGTTACATACAGCACCTATATGGGCGTCAAATTTATCTTCATTCAAATGGAAGAAAGTTGAAACGGTAAATTCAGCTACTATCTGGTGTTAACAGACAGCCAATGATACGTATAAAACATTCAAAACTCGACCGACATACTAACTATCAAAAAAACCAATAAAAAATCATCTAAAACAGCAAAAAAAAATTAAGGGAAAAACTCAACAATTCTCATCACTCTCATTTAGCAGAAATCATAAGCAAAAAATCTAGTGGAATAAAAAAAAAACAAAATACGCTCATGAACTCTAAATCACATACTCTGGAAGAAGTAATCAAAACATTCTCAAAACTGCAGAGGTAACCCCCTAAGAAAAAATCCTACAAACCTTCAACCATTCCAACCCGGAAGGAATTGAAGACTAAAAGAACACACTTCATACCGGACCAGATTGCCGAAAAGCCCCCGTTCCATAATGAAGCCAACGAGGTAACAACAGGCACATAACGAAGTCATATATTCGGAGCTGAAGAAAATCCTTCAATCTATAGGAAATACATATTTTCCCTTTACATTTTAACCATATCGTGGGATTTTCGATCGCTGGAACATCAGCTTATTGATCGTCCGACAATTTGTTTCCCGTCGATATTAATGAAATTAAATTGTACAAATAGAAATAACATACAATTGCGCTTGGTCCTTATCAGGAGTACTGTTTTAGTTATACGATTTCACATGCTATATTATTTATATTTCCATGCGACGTTGCCAAATAAAAGTTTTTCAAACTGTTTAAATGAAAGAATGGCATTTTCAGTTAGGACAAACTTAGTGGCCCTAAGTAAGTTGAATCAAATAAATAAGATTTGGAGAATTATAATTAATCTATTTGTCGATTTCAAGTTTCCACATATTTTATGGGTCGATACCAAATTACCAAATCTTAGGTAAATACTTAGAGTAGGTATATAAAAAATAAAACTCCAGAAAATGTTCAAATACATCAGTAAAACACTTTTTTTAAACCAATATAACATTATTTTAAAGTATATCAGTAGATTTGTTTAATTATTTTCTGAATTAAAGTATTTGTAGGTGTTTAATGTGTATTCAAAAATTGAAAATAATTGTAAAATAACAGAACATTTTATAAAAAATTAGCCAACGCAGCTCGTTGTTACTAATTTCGTGCAGTCTTAAAGCTTCTTGCATGAACCTTTGAAGAGTCAAAATCATATTTTTTGTTATTTTGGCACTACTCTCAATCGTGACCCAAAAAGGTAAAAGGCAAGCAATCCTACAACATCGATTTAAATAAATAATCAGTTTTGCATAAAATGAAAAAAAAAGAATTCTTATTTAAATTGAGAAGGTTGCACACCTAGAGTGTGTACCATTTCGGTATTTCATGATATAATTCAAATTGTCGAACATAAAATAACATTCTACCAATATTAACTATTTACCTACCATCTCATTGTAAATATGCAAATGTATGTAAATTTACGAATGCGTTCGATATAATCCCCGTAAGAGTATATTTGTACTGTCATATACATCGTTTACTTACACACAACTACAGTATTAGTGAACAAATATGTTTCTCTCCTTTAAACTATATATTATTACCTATGTTGATCCATAATTCAATTTTTATTTTTCTTTGTTAACAGTGACGAAACTTTACTACAGTGGTTGGATACTTTGGCAGTTTATGGCATCTCGATGATCAAAAGTTGTGGGTTGGAACAAGACAGGGTAAAAGAACTTGCCGGGCGTGTTGCTTTTTTGAAGAAGACACAATACGGGTAATGTGCATACAAATTAAAATAATAAATCAATAACAAAAACAAACCTTTATAAAGCACTTCGTCGTTGATTTAGGACGTGTCAGGAATTACCGATCTATAAGAGCGACGAGTATGGGCTACGGCCACGTTTCTAACAGTCTTGATTTAATTTTTTTCCGTGCATAATAAATCAAAGCCACAAGTATCTTCAAATTTACAATTCTTAAATTGTTGCTATATTTATCACAGTATATCTCCTAATCATCAAGTTTAAAATTTAATTTTTTTGTTAATTTTTTTACGAAATGCATTATTTGCTATTGTTTGACAATCATGATTTCTTCGTGTACGGTGTTTCTATACTATAGTGGTCGAAGTGGGAGATGCAGCGGGATGGCATCCTTTCACTTTGTAATTGAATTTATAGTTCACATTTTCCATCCCTCCACTTATTTTATACGACTTTTTAAGCGATAACAAATAATTGTAACCTAACCACGAAAGGCATCTCGCCACTTATTTTGAGCCACTTCGACTACTGCCTGTACATCATATTGTAATGGTAAGAACTTACTAGTTATAGCTGCAAAATTATAAGAAACAGCGCAAACAGTTAAGTTACAAGCCCATTGTTAGTAACACTTTTTCTGGATTTTATCACTTACATTTTGTTTTTTATTATAATTAAATATTTTATTGACCTTAACGCATATTTGAATAAAGTATTTGTTTTATGAACATTGATCATAAATATTTTTGCTGTTTTCGGCCATTTTATAACCTTTTATATTTTGAGATTTTTACGCACTACCATAAACTGCTAGATAACTAATCGAACTTACAAAACAAAAAGTCTGGTCCAAGAGTATAAATAATCTATAAATTAGAAAATAATATTTTAGTACCTATTTTGTATGAAACTGGACAGAATCCTAAATAAACTAAATACTATGGTTATTGGTTACTAATTCCAAAATTTAAATAAATTATTTTAAATTAAATTTTTCAACTTCGTTGGTTTACTAAAAATAAATATATTTATACAAATTATATATAAGTTAATACTCAAATTAAGTAGTTTAATATTTATTTTAGTCAAAAAAAAATATTATCAACGTGAATGAAAAGCTAATCTATTATAACGGATAATTATAAGTATGAAATTCGTTTGAATCAATTTAAAATTGTAATTTAAAAAGTTAATATTGTATTTTAAAATAAATTGTAGGGCGGGCATTACAAGTAATTTTTCCGGTCATTTATATGAATTATTAAAAAAAAAAATAATATAAATACATATTATATACACGTTTTTAGTTATGTATTGCAGGTACTTTATAGCTTTAAAAAAAAACATTGTAATAGCATTTTTCTAATTTATTTTTTCTTAAAGATGACAAAAATATTCCCACGAGAACAAATTTATGTTCGGGTATTTTTTTCTTCCTTAGATTCAATGAAGGTATATTTGTTTTATTAAAAAAGAAAAAAACGGATGAAAAAACGTGTAGAGTAGTCCCCTATGTATGTAGAAATCCTAGAAAAAAACAAAACGTAGAAAATAACTCTTAGCCGCTTTGGAGTTTCGAGTGAACTCATTTTCTTTGTCCTTAACTCAGTAATAATATGGCCACTTTGCAAAATGGTCGGAACGAATTAATTCCAGAACACAGAAGACAATCTGACGCAAACTACTTCTTGTCGAGATAAAATGCATTGTGAAACCATAGACATGATATCAATGCGTATCGTGGTGCGGTATCATGGTACGTAATGTACCACAACGATTATTATTGTTGACGTACCTGTAAATCGCTTCAATGTTTACCGGTACGGAGCCTTAAACAAATGAAATGATAACATTTCGTAAGTACTGAAGCACTCGACCAAAATTTGAGCATTGCAAAACTTTTCACGTTTGTATGTATAGGTAATACACATCACGTTATATTTACTGATTGCAACACTTTTAGTTGGGCGATTTAACTTGCGATAGTATTCAAAAATGTACACCGGACAACAATATTTAATTTAATTTCGGAATATATTATACACATAGCTTTTGAGACTGAAAAATGATGCTATTAGTACCTATTTACATTTTCCGATCGTAAAATGCACATGTAGTAAATGCTCGTATGATGTATAATAACAATCGTAATAGAATCAATTTATAACCCAAAACAATATGGTAAAATTACCACGTAGTCAAATCTTATTATGAGTTTAGTATCACTGTACTAATATTAACATTTACAATTATTGTAAAATATTAGGAATTGTAATTTGGCCGCAATAGACGTCATTCGTGAAAAATGCCGCTGTAGATGACATTATTAGGTCAACATACTTGGATCAATTGTATAATATAATTAAATGAATCGTTATTAAACTTTAAAGTAATAACTGAAATTCCGTGATAAAATGTTCAGAATTCCTCAATTTTGTATTTAAAAGGGGGATGGAACCACCAGCACATAATGGATGTTTTTACGGCCTCAAACAATTAGAAAATAATATAAAAATACGAATATTGTTTGACTCCTAATAACTGACTTGACTAGATAACAATTATAATCTATATTTTATTTATGAAAACAGTTATTAAAATTGTGAAAATGCACAAATATATACACACAATTTTAAATCAAATAATAATGCATTCAATATCATACCGTTTTTGTGTTGTATACACAGAACATTACTATAATAATTAACGATAATAATAATACGAGTTTATGTGAATGTACTGCTATGGCCATATTGAAAATATTGATTTTTATTATTTGGTACTTTATATTATTAAGAGTTAAATATATTATATTTTTTCTGGCGAGACTTTAATCAATATTGTTTTCTATTGGATTATTAATGATTTGATGGATTAGATGGTAGACGCAATTATTGCTATTTTGTTCGTTAATTTCATATTAAGGTCGATAACTATAGCCATTGTTATTCTGTCTTTTATTCTGATATAACTGAGTAGGTAAGAAGGTAGTCTGGGACATTTAATTCGATAAAACTAAACTCTTCGATTGAGCTCTTTCATATGAAAAAAGCAGACACCATTTTGAAGAATTTATTCGATAGCTTGAGTATTTTGAATACTTTTAATTCAATGTTCAATGTGGAAAACAATTTAATTGATTCAACTTTCATTTCTTGACTTGATTATTTTATATTTTTTTTAACCAATTATTGTACATTTGTTAACACCAATCATAAATGTATGCACTAATATAGTTGGAACTCTTTTTAACATTATAATGATGTACTTTTATATCCTTAGAACCGTCATTGAAACTATACTAGATATTATATAACTATTAATTGCATAGATATTATCATAGAATATGAATCATGCAAGTAGGTAAGTAAGTATGGTAAGTCTAAAAAAAGTTAAAAGTAAAGAATGCATTTAAATTGACAATATTGCTATAGTATTAAATATTATGTAATATCTAAAGACTTGTAGAATATATAGTCTCAAAGTAATAACTATTTATTTGATATCGATAAGTTACATTATTTTTATCACCGTAGTGCCTTTAGGCTTAAAGAAAAACATAAATGATGCGTAAACATGAACGATTTGTTTTTAGGTACCTACTTTACACTGTATTTTTGTTTTTCGACTGTTTTTGTCTTCAATTAACGAAAACCAATTGTATTTATTACGTTAGCTGAAAGTAAGTACAACACCGTAAGTTAGCATATGAGATATTATATTATAATTATTATACATTGTATGAGTACAGCCAAATTATTATTCAACCGAATAATAATAAAATATTTCTTATCTAATGTATGCTTTCTAATACACATTATAATAGAACAAAATTATTAAAAACGAAATGGCACAGGTTTGCACAAAATGTTTTCAGTATTTTGATAGTCCATATATTATGTAAAATAATAAACATATCAAAAAATAAGAGCTTAAATTCAAACAGCCTTGAAAGTTAGCTAAACACTTTGTATATTATCCACCATGTAAATACAATTTCTGTCATTGGTTTTGTTTAGTCAAATTAATATTTTTTTCACGTGAAATCATTAAAATTAAGTATAACTATACTTGATTCTTGAAATAGGTGATAGTGTTATTACATTTTTTAAGACCACTTTTTATAATTATTTGATTTTTCATTATTTTGCTAACCAACTTAAAGACAATCTAAACTATTTATTTGTTTTTTTTTTTTGTTCTTTCATTTGTCAGTTAAAAATTATTGAGTAGGTACCTATTGATATCAAAGAAACAAAAACGCTACAACATACATGAAGTTATCTTCTATGAAGTGTACAAAAATTGTAAATTAACCATAAACAATTTACCTACCTACTCGTAAGTTTGACACACATGAAACAGTTCTTCTATATAATCTGATTGTTGGTACTAACATGAAACTACTTTTAAAATACATAGAATCCGTACTCAAATATATTTACGATCAATCGTTTTAATTCTTCATAAAATGTCCTTAATAAACTCTTTAAATAGCGGGTGCGTTCTCTTAATATAACATAGTAAATTACCATATAATGTGATATTTTAAAATACTTATTTCTGTCAAAGTGACCAATAAGAGCCATTTACGTTATGAAATATTGCATTGTTGTGGACCAGATAATCCGCTTATTCCTTGTAAAAGAGGATACGAATATGCCATACTTACATATTCCTTGTTCATAAATTTCCAGTAGACTGATCCAAATAAATAAAAATATCATGTTTTGGTTTATTTGTTCGTTTTGAATTTCTTAGTATACTTTTACACGCATAATATGCATCGCAGACCCATAAATGTATTTGCAATGTATCATAGAAATAGTAGTTGCAGTACATAGGCTATGTACTAGTCGCAATAAGCAATAAAGAGGAGAAATAACCTCAGAGGCAGTGGGGCGACAAACAGATCCAATATAGGTACGCGTATGAATTGTTTAGATGCATTTAATTAAATAAAGAAGTGCGAAATGCGAAATGAATAACGAATAATGAAAAATGTCACCGAGGTAGAAACATATATTTGAATAATAAAAACGATTTTCTGCTTTAAATCTTATAGTCGCCATAAATCGATTATATCGAATTACAGCTGCAGTGTGCCTGCAATATAATAAATATACACACGTCTGTCGATTCCGGACGATCTAAACTACTTTTACTACTACTTAAGCTACTGTTTTTTTTTTTTATGCTATCTGATGATAACTGAAAAATATTATCAACAAGTCTTAGGCTGCGAATTGGTACCTAATCCGATTTATGGACAGATTATAATATTATTTAAAGAAACTATATTTCAATGGTTCCGAAAATGTTTGAATGACAAAAAAATTCGTATTAAATCTTGACCGTTGTGTGGAGAACTTATACTTTTGGCTAACAGTCATTTTCCAAAGAAATCATGAAAGTCTATCATTGATTTAGTGCCCACCCGTATCCATACTCACATTTTTCATTGATAACTAACAGTGTCGATATCAATGTTCGATTCGATACCGACATCGTTTTGGAACTGTTCAATACTTATATCAAAGACTCGAAGTTCAATTGAGTCAAAAGTGATGCGATTGATTCTGGACTATATGGAATGAAATGCCTATCCGATAAACGCAAGACTTTAATTTTTTAACAAATTTATGAATCCGGAGGACCTTAATACAGGTATCATAAAATATGATAATAGCTAAGATATTATCAATTAAGGTCTGCAATAATTACGAAGCACGGAAATTTAAATCATTCTATAGTTAGAAAATCAAATCGATATTTTATGATAGAATATCTTATTACTCACGAATATCTCAACGATATCGATATCTTAAATTATGTTATACGACTATTGAACTATTAAATTATTTAAATTACTATACCATTTCGACGTTGTATAATAACGGTGCCTACCTGCACCGCGGCATAAAATAATTATATTATGTTCTAACGCAACGTAGGAGAAACTGTCAAAATACAGACTTAAAACGCAGCTAATATTATAATGTCGCTGTGTGCTGACTGTCACAATAATAGCAGCGCTCTGTGGTCGGCTAACAATGCAGAATTTAATAATAGTAATAATTATAATGGTCGGAAACATTATTACTATATTATAATATACCTATATATTTATGCTAATGTATAATTATTTACTCCGCAACGATTGTCTGGAAATATCATACCTACGTCTATTTTAGCAATGCATATCATAATACACTATCGAGTATTCGAGTGAATATATTGATATATCTGTATAATTTCTGCCAGCTTTTGACCCGAACGCGATTTCTCCGAACGCGTAAGTACCGAATTATAGTGCAGAGCGTGTGCGAAGTTGTACGATGGAGGTTTGAAATTTCAAATTTCCGTTGCACACTTCCTCGCGAAATAGTCCCCATTCAACACAATCATTTCGGCTAGTCGAGTCCGCCAATTTGCAGGCAGGTATTTATTGAATTATATAAAGCTGAACAGAGCACGAGTACACTTATACACATTGCGGACGTGAGATAAATTCGGCCGCGGGACGACTTAGGTCCAAGACGAGTATAAGTACCTCTACAAGAAGAGTGGTTTTCGTAAGGCAAAACGGTTGAGATGAGACCGACGGTGACGTTTTCAAAAGGTATAGTGTAAGTACTGCGGGACGAAGCGAGTCACGATGTAACTGCTAAAAAAATAAGATTTATCCAGATACTTGCAGGTGCCAGATTTCAAACATTAAATTTGTATGCAAATTATCAACCTTTTTACTAATATTTGTATACCATGCAATTTATCCAATACCATTTCTAAAGACATTTTTTAATTCGTTCTTAAATTTACGTGAAAAGGAGACCTTTTTACGTTTTTAATTAATTTTTACTTCAATATTATTAAAATTTGTAATAAAAATAAGAATTTAAGAATCAGAGTTTGACGAGTTCAATATTTCAAAAAAATAAAAAAGTAATTTTCTAGTTAACTTCATGGCGAGCTCTTATATATTTTTTAAGAAGTTTAATCAAATTACGCTCGGACAGTCTGTACGATCAGCACAAAAAAAAGTGTATTTTTATTTACTACACGTGTAGGATCGTATCCCCTTATAGGGATAGCCACAGGTTATGCAAGAAAAATTATTGGTAAATAAGTCTTTGCCATAATCATCACAAATTGTAACGAAACAAAATATTGTTGTTTTATTTATTGACATCTCGATCTAGTGAAGTACGGTCGTGTTACGCGACACTCAATTATAATATTTTCGGTTCGTCGATTCCGAATTATTCCGGTATTTATCGAATCGTCTAAGTCAATGGGTATTGGCGCAAGTAGGGTGGGAGCGAAACGGGTCTTATTAGCCCCCCTGCGTTCAAATTTAGTAGCCCTTGTTATTATAGGTCTAACTATTATTATTTTAGTGAAATACCATAAATCTTATAATTTTAAAATTATGAAACATTTATCGAAAAAATTAAAACTATTTTGGTCGTAATACTAATTCGTTATACATCGTATTCCTTTAATTTATCGATGACTAGCATTAAATATAATATACACTACATTACGGATTGGTATTTTCAGCGAATTATATTACATATAAATGCACTACCATAGGTATAGTCGTACTTATATATGTGCCCTGGAAACAAGTGCTCATGTGGCGGACTGCAATATATTTTCTGGTGCCTTCTACCCCGTGAGTCTTATTCCAAAATGTTAATATTATAAAAAAAAAGTATTATATAATATATTATTTGGTTCTCACCACTCGATTATGAAATGTGCTAAAATTTGAGAAATCATAGAAAGTTGTCAAGTATTGATTATTGTCGGTTTGTGTGAGCTTTGTGAGATATTTACAATCACGTATAACAAGCACCACGCGTGTCTTAGAGGTCCATTCGCACCTGTGATAATGACGACGGCGGAGCGCAGGTCGAAGGGGCGTCTGCTCCGGGCGACTCGGATCAAAAAGGTAATAGCAAATAACGTGTATTCATAATCATTGTGCACGTGCCGGTTATATTGTGCAACAATTGGCGTGTTTATAGAGACGATCGTGGTTTGTTTTCAAAGGGCAGGTAAAGGGTGCATTACGACGGTATAATGAGACCGCGGCGGCGCACACACAATATACATTCTAAACAGTCTCCGAACGGACGTCATGAGTGGGAAGTTTCTGGGTACTTTGATACCGCGGCTCTATACATCGACAAGCCAATCGTGCTTACATTGTGTCATTGTGATATACCTACTTGTAATACTCTGTGTTCCGGTAATAACTACCAGAGTAATAGTAATAATAATAATATTACCAATATGCATGTGATCGAGGCAAATATACGTACCTGCATGACATGTGTAATTGCATACCTACGAACGCGTCTCTATAAAATACGAATATTGTAAACGTTTATTATTGTACGAACGCGAACCGAGTAGTACCGATATTATACCTCTACCGGGAAATCATAAACGTCTGGCGGACAAGTGGTGGTGGCAGGTGGTTGCGGGTTGTTGCGGTACATGGGTATTATAAATTATAATAAAAATATACTTTTGATACGGGTAACGTGTACCTACGGGCTACGATTCCGTCGTTCCGTACCTATTTAGCCACACCTAAAAGCATTATAACAATAATAATAATAATAATAATAATAATAATAATAATAATAATAATAAAAATAATAATAATAATAACACCATGTGAAATATTATATCATTACATCAGAATAAAATGTGATGCGCTCAACTAACGCGAGTTATTCCGTGTTCGATAAAATGTGTTCCGAATTGATTATTCGTTTCTGTGTCCGGATGACGGTGACGTCGCGTTATTGGACGATAAGTACGAAGTGTGCAGTTAATAAGAATGCATAAATTACTGGTACTGTCGCAATACTACGTAAAGCTACCTACGTCAGAGTAAACATTTTTCTCGTACATATTATACGAGCACAGTTGTATAATATACCTACCCACCTACGCGCGTACGCGCCGTGATGAAATTCTATTAAAATTCTATACAATTTGAGGAGAAAAAATAAATAAACGAATTCTACGAAAACTAATATCCCGTTATGGTTGTTGTCTGCTTTTATTTTGTTTTTTTTTTTTTTTCGCAGGGAAACGTTTAAAGTTGAAGTGAACTCTGATGCGACCAATTTAGCATATAGATCAACATACTTACAACTACACACGGACTTGCCATATTACGAATACACACCCGGGGTAATTTTTATTCAATTATTCATTTGATATTTTTTTATTAAAACCATACAAGACACGTGACATACAATGTATATGGCTTGCACCCACAAGCTTGTTTAAAGGTGGTAGATATTATTATTTTGAATAATTCACATTGTATGTTTCATAATAAATAAATAAATAAATAAATAAATAAATAAATAAAATATAATATAAAATGTTCAGAAAAAAAAATACTTTCTATAAAATTATGTGAAAATCCAAGAAATACTTAATGCTTTTGTACTTATACTCTAATATTTTATCTTCAATGAAACTTTTTACATTCTTAAGTTTACTGTATCCTGATCAATCAACAGAATTCAAAAATGCAATAATGGGTATTATGTATAGGTACTGTAGTTTGAAAGTAATATTGTATTATCAATTATCATCCGAATACTTGAAACTAATAGTTTGCTTCAATCACATCTGCATTCAACCTAGATATAGTAGGAAATTTAATTACGAACTAGAGTAACTTTATGGGCCGGGTCGATAATTGCTGCAGATAAAATGAGAATTATTTTGAACATTCTTACCAGAAAAAAAACGAATAAAAATTACCACATTCCACGATAAACTAAAAACCTAAAGTTACAAAATATTTACAATCGATTCCTACTTATTTAAAAAATGATCAGTAATAATAACAAATAAATACTACAAAATAATAAAAGTGAGAATTCAAACAATTTGTACAGTTATTGTGGTTATAAAAAAATAAATAAAACGTGATGAAGATAATATTAACAAGTACCTACCTAAATATACACTGTGCTTATTTTTCACTACTAACTAATGAAACCAAACAAATTACTTTTTTTATCTTTTCAACATAAGTACTATTATTACCCTCATTTAAATTCGTATTAAAAATAACAATTTACTCTTCATTTTTGTAATATTTTATTACAAGATCAAAATTTAGCGCAGAATAGTGAATTACATTTTTTTTTTAAAGATGCAAACATCCAATAAGGTGACATGCATTTATGCATAGATCAAATGCTCCCTGAATTACATAAAAAAAAAATTTTAACCGAGTGATGAGAAATAGTGATTTCACTAGGTAGTGAATATTCAAGCTTGTTGAAATTTAAACTTCAGACAATCATAAAAATTATTTGTGGAATTATACGCAAACAATTGTATAGTTAGCAAAACTATATGGAAACTTTTCTTACATTTGTATACTTAAAAAATACTTGAATATTAAATATCTTCAGCGGGAATCCACTTTTTCAGGAAGATGCAAATTTTTTCTAAGAATTTCCTTTACCGGCAGAGATAAATGATAATTTGTTATACCGAGGAAGTTAGCTGCCATTCCAAATGTACACTGATGTATTTAGTATGTTTCGTCAATATTTATTTAATTTTGGCTGTTCCAAGTTATGAGTTTTATATTTTTGGGACATCGCGGTGGTCCCTGCATGATTTCCGTTCAAAATCGTACCCATCCAAGTGCTGAGGTCACGCCCGTTTTACGGTTTCGCCTAATGCTAGTCTCCGGTATATATTTTAAAAATATTACCATCGTAATATAATATCATAAACCATTAGAAAAAAGTGTGACCCTTGTGATCGCAAGATCCTCGTCGATTTCGATGCAACAAACCCAATAAAGAAAACGTGCGTCTGAGCTAATCCAATATATTAAAATGTACGACTCGTCGTAATCGTCAAAAAATAAAGCCATCGAAATGATGGGAAAAAAAAACTCGTCTAATACACACTGCACGTCATACATCATCATTGGCCGTGGAAATAATATTATGAGCTCGTAAACTCACCGGCCGACATTCGGTTCGATTGAAATCAGGTGATCTTGCTGCACTGCATCGTTCAACCGGAGTCCAGTGGCGGCGAATCCGAAGTGACCGACGGGCTGTCGGTGTGCGACCTTCTGAAGGAAATGGACGTGGACTGCTACAAGACGCTGTCCGCGGTGCCGGTGAGGTGGATTGACCGCGGCCACGACGCCGGCTACAACTTTCATAACGTTTACGTCTCGCCCGTAATTTGGTTAGTGCCACACGCCGAAGCCATTATCATTATTATTCATTGTTGCCTCCGCCGTGGACTTTGGCGAAATAATTCATACACCACTATAGATTATATTAATATTATTGCGCATTGTTATATTATTATGTCCATTGGAGTTCAGATGGGTATCCTAGTGTTACCCGGTTAGGGTTTGGACGATAGAGTTACGGTCAGACCGCATTGTAGGCTGCACCTGCACAGCTTATTGTTGAATATTAAATCTTCAACGAGACCGCGAATCGAAGGCACAACGTTAATTTTTAGTTGTTTATATTCATCAAATGAAAAATAACGATTTCAGTCATTTGGTTATGGGTTATTAGAAAAATGTCATCGGTGGGGACTCGAATCTTTTCTAAACCATGACGTATACAATATTATTAATTGGATACCGCGCACAATGAAATTGTTTTAAAATATTTTAATTAATTTAATTATTTATCATTGAATTCAAATTGTATAACATCCGTTTCAGTGTACCTACTCGATGAGGAGGTACAGTCAACACCTACAACTGTATACTGGAGAGCCATTTCCCGGTTTTTATAACCAATTATTGATGTAGCCAATTTGTACGCTTGTTTTTTCCCCACTATACAGTATACGTCACTGAATTTCAAGTTTTTGTTAATTATTAAAACTATGCTTTACAGTATTTTTTTTCTATTTTTAGCTACTGTTCAAAATAATTATTTAGTGTGATAGAATGAATAATATACTTTGATATCAGATAATCAAAATAAAATATAATTTATGAAGCAGTATCTAATATTGATTACCCAGTCCTCCTTAATAAATTTAAAGCATTCAGCCCCCACCCCCCTAATAATAATGTTAGAAAAACACACACTATGACCCTAAGACGTATGGTACATAATTTATCATAACTAACTGAAAATTTGTATTTATTTCTTTTGCATGTTGTAAATATTGCAGTTTTAAAATAGCCATTAATATATTAACCGGACATTCATGTTCTGTTTACTTTTTTATATAGCGAAGACAGTTATGGGAATGTCAAGAGAATTAATTTTAGTGAGCATCACAGAGATTCGAAATTTCCTGTATCAATAGATAAGGTACACATTTGGTATGATGCAATCGAAAAATTTGTAAAGATTGCGTACAACGAAAAGATCATCAGCACTTTTAAAATGAAACCGGGTATACTATATATCTCTTATATCATTTATCTATTTTATATTTTAATCAACACACTATAGTGACCTATTGTGACGACACGTGTGACACACAATAGGGTAAAGTTGTTAAACTTAACATAATGTTAATTTATATATATATATATTTAGCTACTTTTTCTTGGTTGTAATTTATTTTTACTTCTTTGAAAAAGAGTATCTGTGCATTTTAATGTCAAACTTCGAAACAGGATAGTTTTCCGAAAATGTTATACTTAACTTTAACTCAACTGTAGACTGTAACTTAACTTACCAATATATTACATTTCTAATATATTTTTATACATTTCCTGAAAATAAGTGTTCATCTTTAAAATGCATAACCTTGCTGTCATCTATGCGTATTATAAAGCTTATAATATTTAAAACGTTGCATTTATTTTATTTCAAGGGGACATTTTAACTTTTGACAACCATCGAGTACTTCACGGAAGAAAAGGATACCATGGCTCTAGATTATTAATTGGAGGTTATTTAGACTGGGATTTGATAAAATCAAGAACTCGTGTACTCCGATCTCAACTGTCAAATAAAAATATTAACTAATCATACAAATAGTTTATGTATATAAATTATGAGTAAAATTTTTATGTAATCCAGTAATGATGATTGATTAACCATTGGCTAAACTAAATAAACTCAGTTAAAATATATTATATACATTTTGTGACGCATGTATACTGTATAGTTATTGTGACTTAATTTATAAATTGCATTTATTTCATTACTATTGGTATTTAAATATAATAAGTAAAAGTCTTATTAATTTGCATTTTTTTTTATTTTTCATTTAGTTTCTACTAAGATTATTTAAAAAGCAGAACTTACAATTATTTAAATTTATTAATTTTAACATTATAATTAATATGAATAACATATAAGTTTCTGGTTAGATGTTAAAAATAATTAAACTCGTTTTTGTATAGAACTTATACTCCATTATTTTTTAAGTAACTTTTTGATCATGAAAAATTAAAATATTATACAACATCAAAGAATTATTGCACTATGAAAAAAAATACCTTTTGAAAATGTGTATTATATGTACTATTGTACTCAGGATAATGGTATAATAAAACCAGATTTTACATATGAGAAATAAGTACAAACATCATATTATATCTAATAAATAATAATTTACAACAAGTTAGCTTATTTAATTTCTAGAAGCAGAACTTGAAAATTGGTTTTATTAAAAATGTGTTACACAATCGTAAGTATTATTATTTTTATTTTTATCAAATCTAGCAAGGCATCATAACTACTAATCATCGCAAGATGGGATTATTTTCAATTATCTTAATACTCTACATTTTTTTCGGTATTAAAAATTATTTTGACTCTCTTTTTAATATCTACAAATTAATACTCCAGAAGTTAAGAGCCGATGAGAATTTTACAACTGAAATACCATAATTTAGTATGTAGTGCATCGATTAGAAAGGGCTGGGTCCCACTGGTTTATTTTGAGGAATTAAATAAATGTAGAATTTATCGCCAATTGGAGCACTTCTTTGTTTTTTAGTGGATTACCTTAAGCATTATAATATGAATACTTGAGAATATCAAAAAATGTTCAAGGTATAACAAACACAAGTCAGTAGTTTGACAAGAAAAATTATCACTAACATAAAAACGCAACAATATAATAATATATTAAGACTAATAGGTACACTCCACGCTTTGTTCAGAACCTATAAATCTAGGTTAGTAAACTTAAAATTATAATCTAGGTTTTCCCTAGTCGCGTAGAAAACATATCTTTAAAATACGGATATCCATGGAAATAAGATAACTTGGTAGGTACCTAATACTTATTTCTATAGACAGATTATGTAACGTTGAAACTTTAAAAAACAAATTCAGCCTATCGTGAATACTCGTGATGTTTACTCTATGTTGACTTTCGATGAAAATCGATCAAGAGCTTCTTAAACCAGTGAAGAGCGAAACGAGCAATCAACGAAGAAAATCGTTTACGAGTTTATTGATCACGTGAATTTGAAACAAATCAGAGCTATTCTACATGCCGAAGAACCGTGCACGTTGACTTGGACCTCAGCGCATCTCAGTAAAATTTAATTACGACTACAGTAGTACAGTCTGCATCAAAGTGTAGATTTTGACAAAACGGATAAAGTGTGTTGGCATGCAAACCATGATATGGATGAGATGTGTAAACATGATAACCATGCATAGTTGTACACACATGTATGATTTTATTTGGACATCGAAAATCCAATATTTGTTGAGATTTGAATTTTTTTTAAGATAGTAAAATAATATTTTATATATATATTTTTTTTTTATTAAAGAAATAACCCTCAGCAACTAGGCCATTGGATAAGATACATTTTTTTTTTTTACAAATATGTATTACAATTACATAATAATATAAAAGGTTTAATAATAACAAATATCTAGACTAAATAATGAGAGTTTCAATTTTAAAATTGTGTTATTCAGAAGGTTAAATGAGTATGTCCAATCCTGTCTCCTGGAGAAAATATGTTATTTGATGGCAGGGCTGGTCCAATTATGTCATATAAGTCACCGGATAAATGGTTGCGGTTCCTTGCATCGAGGTATGCAAAACATTTAGTGAGGATATGTTTTATTGGGAGTTCGGCCCCGCACGTCATACATGAGGGGGGCTTATCTCGAGACATTAGGTAACCATGAGTTATTCTGGTGTGACCTATTCTTAGCCTGTTGATGATGGTTTCCTTTTTCCTATTAGGATGATTGTTGGGCCAGTGAACAATAGTTGTTTTAATTTCATTAAGTTTTGTTTTATGTTTTACCAATGTTTTCTGCCAAGTTTGTAATGATTTGTGCTTTATCGTTCTTATGATATCTCAAGCAGTGATAAACAGAGTGGTATCTAAGGAAGTTGAGGAGGCTGTGTGCTTGGCGTGTATATCGGATTTTCCATTGCCTTCAATTGAAGGATGACCAGGTACCCAAAAAGAAAAAAAATAATTATTATGATTAAATATAATTGCCTATATGTCTGTAATGTATTACGTTTTGTAATTTAGGCTAATGAGTAGGTAATGACTAATACGCTATGACGCATAGATGTACAATTTAGTAAGTAACAGCTTTATTATGTATAAGAGACAAAGTGTATGGTTAAGGTTTACATTCTACAATAATACCAGACCGATTTGACAAAAAACAATTCATAATATTTTAACAGAAGCAAAACGAAAACGATAAAAGATAGACTTTAATAGATACTGGCTACTACAGATATTATTAATTGTGTGTTACTGTATTATAATATCTAAAAAATGTATACCTATATGTAAATCCACAATTTTTTACCAATTGCCACCAAATTTTGTATACATATTTTTAAATCCTAAATTCTATACTCAATAAATATAATGTGGAAAAATAGACACATCTGTGGTGCCATCTGTCATGTTTTTACAGCGACTACAAAAAAAAATGTCTATTGGACCATTTATTTGACAGTGTTAGAAATTGTTGTTGTTTATATTAACTGATGTTAATTTTCCGGGGTGGAAATCGATTTGCTAATGATGTTATTATACTCAAACCGAAATATATCAAGCGCTGTATGGTAGTATTTAAACAGCCACATTATTAATGGATTGTTCATCTCGATCGGATTTGTTCACAAAGTGAGCAACACAATTGAAATCAGTTTATTTTTCATAGTCTGTATAAAAATTTATTGTTTTCTTTATATGTTACTAAAATTTGATTTTTTGATGTAGTTTTAAATTTTAAATTTACTACTTTTAATGTTTAAATGTTACATATTTGATTTTGAGTACTATGTAATCAAAATAATAATACCCCTACGAATCTAAATGAATATACAATAAAATAAATATAATATTACAAATGTATAAATGTTTAGATTAACAAAAACGACTTGAAGACTAATTTTTTGTACAAAATGATTAATTGTTTTTTTTTGTTTACCGTCTGATGTGAAAACTTTTATTTCAGCCGAAATAATAAACATTAAACACCCATTGGATGGCCTCCTTTGCTGTTATATTTTTTTCTGTCAATTACTGTGATATGTATTACTTTTTTTTACATCCTTTTGTTTTTGTATACATATACTATATATAAAAGTTTATCAAATATTATTATTGTCCATTGGGCATATATTGTAAGTATTCAATTAAAATTAAAAATGTGACTGATTTGTAACTAAGTGTTTTTTTTAATGTACCTTGTAAAAATAAAAAAATAAAAAAGAATTCTAGACTATATGAACTTATATTTTTTTATATAACCATAAATTAACAAGTTGAAAAAATAGTGAACTAGCACAGTCTAGTGTAATAATATTATACATAAATCGAATTTTGTGAAAAAAACTGTCTATTTGCAATCCCCTCAACGTATATATTATATTGTGTACTATTATTTCCTCGTTATACATTTGGGCTTAAGCATTTTTATTATAGGTTGAAACGCATTTATTATCATTAACGTGGAAAACACAGAATTGACTGACTGTTGGTTAGGCTTGTGTATGATTTTGATGAATGATGATGTACAGTAAGAAACGAGTAAATATTTTTCGTCGTGGACCGACTAAATGAGACGGGCTACCATTATTTGTCATTGAATTGATTACACTGTATACAACACTAATAAGCAACAATAATAATATTAAATTGTATTTGGACATTACACACTTAAACTACAATTTGTCGTATGCGCCAATTACTTTAGTGCACACACACAAGCAAATCAAATTAAATGATAAAAATAAAGACATTATCGCATTCTTAATAATAGGCCAATAAAGCAAATGAGCTGAGGCAGCACATAGTAAAAACTAATTTAAGAACGTTAGCACAATGGCAGAGAGGCAGTGCTAGATTTCTAGTTGGTACTAATGTACTATTAATTATTATAGGAAGACTGTGGTGTTTCTTTGAGATCCGTAATTTTGTGTGTTTGTCTTAAAGTTATTAAAGATATTCAAATAGTGTGAATTGTTAATGATTGTCATCTTATCTTTTGTACCACTCGATAGATAGGTATACGACATATTTAATCGTTCATTTACGAGTTATCATAGAAATACAATATAATGAAATCAATGTCACAATATAGGTATATGTATAAATTATAATCTGCGATCTATTATGCAAGATGCTGTTTAATAATATCATAGTTTTTTATCATAAAAAACCAAATTATAATTATAATTTATAACTAAAGCCTAAAAAAGCAACTCAATAAAATAAGTGTTTTAATAATCATTGATTTCATGCTTCAAATTGTTTACAATTCTAAAATATTTGAAAATGATACTTTATATTTTAGTACAAACTTCGATTGTTATACTTTTCTACTAATTACTGCCCAATACCTATTTAGAGAAGGGTTGATACAGTGTATTATATAAAAATAATGATTTCACTGGAAAAATTGTCTGATTATTTTATTTGAAAGAATGGGAATTCATACGGCCGCAGTGAACTCTGAATTTTATTTTATTTCAAAAAATGGTATAAAATAGAGCTTAATATAGCCTTATTTTTAAAGACATAATATTATTAATTTTAAATTTAAATATTGAAAATTTTAGTTCAATGCGGCCTGTAGACTACTACCCTATAAAAAAACATTCTGTAAGAAAAAAAATTCAAATTTGGTTGTTTTTACAGGG